CAGCAGCTGCTCCTTGAAGAAAGCTGTGGCAAGCTGAGAAGGAGCAAGAGAGTGAGGAAGAAACTGTTAGACAGCATGTCCAGAGACACTCAAGACACTGAAATGCAGAAACTGGGCAAGGAGCAGTCTACAGAGGAGTCCAGGCATATGTCTACATGAACACACACCTGTCTGTGTGTGTTCCAGGTGCACATACACGTGCAGAGTGTCACACAGGTGTGGATGTATTGCAGGTGTGTGTGTGCCAGGTGGGCATGCACGTGCAGAGTGTCACACAGGTGTGGTTATAATACATGTGTGTGTGTGTGTGTGTGTGTGTGTGTGTGTGTGTGGTGTGTGTGCCAGGTGGGCATGCACGTGCAGAGTGTCACACAGCTATAGATGTATTGCAGGTGTGTGTGTGTGCCAGGTGGGCATGCTCATGCAGAGTGTCACATAGGTGTGGATGTATTGCAGGTGTGTGTGTGCCAGGTGGGCATGCACGTGCAGAGTGTCACACAGCTATAGATGTATTGCAGGTGTGTGTGTGTGTGTGTGTGGTGTGTGTGCCAGGTGGGCATGCTCATGCAGAGTGTCGCATAGGTGTGGATGTATGGCAGGTGTGTGTGTGTGCCAGGTGGGCATGCTCGTGCAGAGTGTCACACAGCTATAGATGTTTTGCAGGTGTGTGTGTGTGTGCCAGGTGGGCATGCTCATGCAGAGTGTCACATAGGTGTGGATGTATTGCAGGTGTGTGTGTGTGCCAGGTGGGCATGCATGTGCAGAGTGTCACACAGGTGTGGATGTTTTGCAGGTGTGTGTGTGTGCCAGGTGGGCATGCACGTGCAGAGTGTCACACAGGTGTGGATGTATTCTGCAATGCTCAGTGACAACGATAAAGCTCACCTCCCCTTACTCATCACCAGTCACCCTCATGCAGAAACAGAGAGAAGAGAATCGGCAGGTGTCCATGGTTCGAGAGAATGTGCGGGGTGGTGGTGGGGAGTGGAAGCATCATCCAGAACAAGCAGATTTCCGCATTCACATTCAGAAAAGGCCCGGATGTTCATATGTCTTGGAGAACGTGCCTTTCCCACCAGGCTGGCCACTAATTGCCTTCGACGGTTTTCTTCCAGAGCGCTGGGTGCTTCTTCCAGGCAGAAGCCTGCGCAGGTCTGGCATTGACTTTCTCCAGATTTTGTTATTACATTTGTCTCACAGCTTTAAAACAGAAGCAAATATGTGCAATTTATTTAAACAACACTGGGGAAATTAACGCCGTGCAAGCATTTCCTAAGCAAATGAAGATAAAGCCGGGTTTTTAAGCGGGTGTGTGAGAGGCTCCTGGAGTTTCCAGTCTACATCAGAGGCCTCGGCAGCAGCAGCTACTATGGAAGAGACACCTCTGTGTGCGGCGGCCTGATGGGCTCTGCCACCCACACACTGGAGCATTGAGGACAAGCAGAATTCCCCCTCCCAGAGGCTGTCCTCCGGGAGAGGTCCAGCTGCTTGAGTCTGGCCATCTCAGCAAACGTGCTCTGAATGAGAACAGTTTAGCAGGTCCGGTGGTCACAGGGCTGTGGTTCCAGATGTTCCCGGGACAGACACATGAAGATCACAAGTCCAAAGCTTGATGGAAGTGCAGAGTGAGTTCCTCTCTTAAAATGAGGGAAGGAGGAAGAGGAAGAGGAAGAAGGAAGAAAACAAAGAGGAAGAAGAGGAGGAAGAGGAGAAGGAAGAAGAAGAGGAGGAGGAAGTACGACAGGTGCAACTTCAGTGCTGTCGTCGAGTGGAGGTCTCCGTGCGGGCGGTGGAGCGGGGGTCTCCGTGCGGGCGGTGGAGCGGGGGTCTCCGTGCGGGCGGTGGAGCGGGGGTCTCCGTGCGGGCGGTGGAGCGGGGGTCTCCGTGCGGGCGGTGGAGCGGGGGTCTCCGTGCGGGCGGTGGAGCGGGGGTCTCCGTGCGGGCGGTGGAGCGGGGGTCTCCGTGCGGGCGGTGGAGCGGGGGTCTCCGTGCGGGCGGTGGAGCGGGGGTCTCCGTGCGGGCGGTGGAGCGGGGGTCTCCCCGTGTGGGTGTGGAGTGGGGGTCTCCCATGTGGGCGGTGGAGCGGGGGTCTCCGTGTGGGTGGTGGAGTGGAGGTCTCCCGTGGGTGGTGGAGCGGGGGTCTCCGTGTGGGTGTGGAGTGGAGGTCTCCCCGTGTGGGTGTGGAGTGGGGGTCTCCCGTGGGGTTATCCCTGCGAATGGGCTCTGTGGCCAAGTTGGTGCCTGAGTCGTTTCCACCTGTGGTCGTGCACCGAAGTCCACAGGAGGGGTCTCTGATGAGCTTCAGAGACTTCGGCAGCAGTCTCAACAGAGGTCTCCTCAGCTCGTTGGCCCTGAAGTATGGCAGCCATTCCTTCCAGCAGCTAGCTTGTGGCTACCTCCTCATCCAGCAACAGCTCCTGTGGAAGTGCCGAGTGTCCCGCCCACTCCAGGGACTCATGTCTCACCCTCTCCTGCCCTGTCTCCCTAAGGCTGACCCTGGCCACTGGTGGACCAGCTCCTTTTTCGGGAAGTCCACCCTCCCATTCATGACCACAGTGTTGGAGTCTCCTGAGCAGTGAGTCCATCTTCCATAAGGTTGTGGGAGTGGTCCCAGTTAAACCTGCTTCTGACCCATTGACTTCTCCTCTCCATGCAGCTCGGCAGAATCCCCGCAGGCCTCCAGAAGCCCGACCACCCGTGGCCTGGCTCCTGAAACCATAAAGCAGCAGCAGCCAGTCATCCATCCTAATCTTGCCATTGTTGTAATTTTTAAAAGCAGCCTGAGAGCGAAAGATGCCAGAGACAGAGCTTGGGGACAGAAGCAGCAGGAGAGAGAGAGAGAGAGGGGGAGACGGAGTGGGGGGGGGGGGAGGTGGGCAAGGCCCTTTTTAAGGGGAACATAGTGAATGTGCACAGGTGGTGCTCTTGGTGGCTGCAGCTGAGGACGTATCCTGTCAGGACTCCAAGGGCAGGCCAGTGCAATTGCCTGAAAACTTATTAACAGCCATGAACACATGTATCTGAAAACCAACAATGTCCTTCACCCAAGGACTCAATAGACAGAGACATCCAGCCCATCCCAGAGCTGCCCAGGCCTGGGTCTGAGAATGGATGTTTCTAACCAGCTCCTAACTGTATAGGTGCAGGAGGGGGGTCAGCCTGAAACTCAAGCCCTGTCCTCTCCAGCTCCCAGCGGGTTTAAAACACAACCTGGAGCAGGGAGACAAGCCCCACGTCCCCTCTTCCGTGGGAATGTGCATCTCCTCCACCCCCTGCATACCCCATCAAACGCAGGCAGAGGGGATGCCACTCCACAGCATTCAGGGCTCCAAAAGTGAGAGCTGGCACTTGCGAGGCTGAGGCAGGAGCACGGCTGTAAGTTCAACAGAGTTCCAAATCAGCTGGGACTACAACATGTGAAGGTGTCCATCCACAGGGTGGATACTCGGGCTGTCTGTCTGTCCACAAGAGTGGCTCTGAGGCCGTCTGGCTGTCCATGGGGGTGCTAATGCACAGAGTATGTGCCCAGGGTGTCCATGACTTCACCCATACCTGGAGCTCAGCAAAAGGGGACTCCACTATGCCAATGACATAGTGGAAGTCATGACAGGAAGTGTTTAACCCACTCAGTGCTCAGTCTGTCACACAAAACCTACAGCCTCAGCCATCCCCACCACTGGCAAATGTCTGAATCCATGCTGGAGATGGACTTTGCTTCATCTTGTCAGTTTGACAGGTGAAAGGGCGTATTATCACTTTAATTCGCATTTTTGATTCATAGAAGATATCCACATGTTAATGGATGTCCAGCACCTATTGTGGTATGAGCTATCTATGCATGTTGTTTTCTCATTATGAAAGAAATTATTAGTTTACCAAAGCTCTTTATATAGGGGCTAGCAACCCTTTGTGATATTCTTTTGAATCCTGTTGCTTAGCACAAAGCTGTGGGTTCCATCCCAAGCACCAAAAGAATTTGAAAATAAAAGAAACCCCTTAGCTATAGTCCATTAAGGAGCTATATGGACTCCTTTTGGTGGTTTCTACTTCTAATTCCACAACACAACACAAGACCTTTGTCCCTTCCCTGGTGTCCCCCACTTTTCCATAACAATAGGGGTGAACACAGATATTCCTAACAGGAACCTAGCCTGACATCTCTCACTCTTCCTCCTCAGAAAGGAAAGGCAGTGGCCCTGGACCCCTCTCAGTCCCCGAAGGACACACTGCTGCCGTGGCCCCAACATCAGAGCTCCAGCGGGCTGAGGAGGCAGAAGCGTGACTGGGTCATCCCACCCATCAACGTGCCTGAGAACTCCCGAGGGCCCTTCCCCCAGCAGCTCGTCAGGGTGAGTGTGTCTCGGCTGTTCTTAAGACTACTCTGGACACCCCAGAACCAGGACAGGTTCTGGGGTATAGGAGGCACTATCCAGTAAAGAAAATGTGGCAAAATGTGGAGCCAAAGCCTCTTTGCGAGGATGCTCTTCCTCCAGGCCAACAGGCCTGTCAGGTGGCAGCGGCTCCTCTTGGGGATTATTTGCAGCTTCCTGTCCTGTCTGTGGAAGCCAGTGTGGTTCAGGTTGTGTCCTCTGACACCTGTCTGTGATCTGACTGTGCTTTCCCCGTGGGGCACTTACACAGCTGTGGCGACGGTCATACGGTGAAATGCAGGGCACAATCATGGGAAAGCCCTATGAAATTGCGGGTTTGGGGGCATTGCAAGAGTCACAGGAGACTGGAGTACGCAGAAAGAGGTGCCAGTTCTCAGGCCTGCTCTGTTGTTTGTTCCTTTCCATGTAGATCAGAGTTGTGTGTTTAGTGTGCAGACACCATGCGAGTCCCCCATCTCTTGGTCATCGCTGTCTGACTCAGGGAGGTTCCTGGTCTATACAAGAGTGTCAGGGATTTATAGTAGAAATCCTGGCATTGGTGCATGCAGCACACACCCAGGGAAACTTGGTGGCATTGTCCCCTGCCTCTGTGCACACTCTCACCACAGGGGGTGTGAGGCTTCCTGCAACTGCCTGTGAGTCAGAGCCTGGAGGGGGCTGTTGAGGAGGGAAACCCCATTTTGGAACCTCAGCTCCTGGCTGTTGGCCGCCCCACTGTCCACCATGGCTCCTAAGAAGATGCTGAAGGTGGCGCTGTGGTCCCCATTCTAAGCCTCAGCCCTCCCCAGATGGTGGCTGCATCTGGGGACCACCCTGTTGTCTTTTACTGAAGGGTTTGCTGCGAGTCTTTCATGTTTAATATAAATCAATTTGTTCTGAGAAGAGTTTCCATCCAGCCATGTCTGCAACACTGTACCGTGTGTCACACGGAAGGTGGCTATGAACGTGGTGGCTGGCAACACAGAGAAAACAGTCCAAACGCATTCACCCTGGAGCCTCCGTGTGAGCCTAGGCCATGGAACAACAGTGTGTCTTAGAAATGCGCCCAGGCCCTGCAGACCCTCCTGGGCGTCATCAGGTGCAAAAAGAAAATGCAAATGGGCAGAAGGAGGGGCCTTCTGCCAGAATAGTCTAGTTTTCAGAGCTGGCTTGCTTCTCTGAGATGGGCCAGTCTACAAATCTCAAAGGCTCTCTGGGACACAGGTGTGAACGGAGCAGGCTCCAGGCAGCAGATGAACAGGAGATGTGGCTGTGAGCCCATCAAACCAAATTCTTGAAATTAAGTAGCAAGCAGAACCTCGACCGACAACTCCCAGTCAGTCACCCCCAGCCTCCAGGAAGGTATGCATTATGTCACTCTCCTGGGTAGTGAGTGAGTGAGCGAGCCACAGAGGTGAGCTGAGGACTCTGGTCTGCTCACACCCAGAAGGTGTGTTCAGGAACAGGAAGTGTGGAAGGCTCAGGAGCACTGCAGTATTCCCAAATTCCTGGTCTTTGTCTTCCACTCCTATCTATAGACAGACAGGGGAAATGTAACAAGAAAACAGGATGCCCCTGTGGGCAGAGCCATGCCCCAGAAAGGGCTACCTATATACCACCCCAGGGGTGAGGGGTCAGCTGTCCTCTGCTGAGCCTAGAGGAAAAGACACTTGCTTGAGATCTGCACAGGTGTGTCAGTGATCAGGGATGGACAGGCAGGGTTGGAGTTAAGGGAATGGCCTCTTTCTCTAAGCAGCCGAGGCACTGGTCCATTAACAGCTGGAGACCTTTCTTCTCAAGGCATGGCAGTTAGAGTTGAGCTCACAGCATGTCTGAAGGTGCTGTGTGTGCATGGCTTTCCTATGGGGATGGCTGCATGACCAGGGCATTTTCCTCTCCTGGTAGCATAGACACAGGGAAGTGTGTCTGGAGACAGCGACAGGCAGCAGAAGCTGCCAGCTAGGCAGTGCTGGCTTGTGAGGCTTGCAAGCTGAGTTCCTAACCTGTGAGGAGAACAAAGAAACCCTGGTTCAGCTGTGTACACAGCAGCCTGCCTCATATACCTATGTACATATACAGTAGCCCATCCCATAAATGCCTGCATACACACACGTGAACACATAGCAAACCACTTCATATATACACACACATGCAATAAGAAGCCTAATTCAAACACATATACATATATATGTAAACACACACACACAAGCCCACTTTATACATACATGTGTGACCCACCCACACCAGCCCATTTCAAACATCTACACATGCACACACAAAGCCACCTTGTACACACACGTGTGCACACCAGCCCACTACATGTATCTGTGTGCAAGTCACTCCATTTACACACCCACATTGCATTGTGCCCTCATTTTCTGTTCCTGACTCTAATAGGGTGCAGACCGTGACTCTGGTCCACTGTGTGGTGTTTTATCTGCAGGAAGCCCACAAGTTTCCTATCAGTGTTCCAGGGCAGTGCTCCAGAAGCCCACATAAGAGCATGAATGCAGCTTGCAGGGCGGACAGCAGCGCTGGCACACTCAGAGCTTCAGCTGGGATTAGCTAGTTCCGTGCTCATTAAGGCATTTCATTCTGATAAAATATGTTAAATGAAAACGTGGGTGGAAGAAGAGGCAGAATGTTCTTCCCAAACCCCAGTTAATTGCAGACGTCTTCCTTGGAAGGAATGGTGTCATTTTGCAAGTGCTCACTCTTACCACATAGGGGACAGATCACTTGTGTGACCAGGAAAGCCTGGTGAGACAATGGAGCTAGGAGCCAGGGCCATGCAGGTGCACAGTATGAGCTGAGTCACACCAGTCCATGGGGGAGCATGGGCCGAGCCACACAGGTCAGCAGCAAAGCCTGTGGGGCCATGGTGGAGTGTAACTCCCATCGACTGGGCTGCTGAGCCGTGCAGGCATACGGCAAAGTGTGGCGTGATCTCACTGGTCCCACCCTGTGGAGCTAGCCCACAGTCTCTGTTTAAGGTACATGAAGGGTGTCAGTGGCCTTAGAGACATCACCCATATGTCCCAGCCACCTTCTATCCTTAGATGGGGGATGTGTGGCTTAGAACAGAGTGTGTTGAGAAGTGTGTGTGTGTGTGTGTGTGTGTGGCTGGGTTCCATGTCTGGCTCTGCTGAGAGGTAGTGGGCTCTTTAGGAGACAGAGGGCAGGGAGAGGTATTCAAGAGGTGGCCTTCAAGTAAGCACTCTCCAACAACCCACACTTTGTGTCACCAAGGCCCAAAGTCACAGAATCCATTGGTCACGACAGAGACCAGGAGCTGAAGTAAGCCTTGCATCTTTATGGGTCAGTTATCAGGTATTCATTACAGCAATGGGGGGGTGACTAGCACAGCAGAGGCAACAACTGACAGCCCCTGAGCCAACCTGGAAGGTTCCCAGAGGAACTGTGGGACAGGGCGTGGTCCATAGCCCAGAATCCCAGGGCTGGCCTGGACAGTATGAGGCATCCCTTTCCCCTTTTGGAGATTCAAGGGGAAGAGCAGAGAATTCTCCCTTCCGTGCTGATCCAAAAGCAGCAGCCATCAGCTTTCTTCTTGTCCCTCCCAATTGGGTTCCGTGTCTCTGGCGGTGCTGACGGCGCCTAACAGGATGTCAGCACAGGTCTGGAAAGCTGCTCGCTGCTCTAATGTGCTCATGAAGTTTGACTGCTGGCAAGATCCAGGGGAGGATAAAACAGGGCTTGTAGAAAGAGTTCTATTCCACAGCTGAGTCTAATAAAAATTCAGAATTTGTTAACGGGAGAGGTTGTCCACTACTGCAGCAGGAATTGACTGGGGACAGGAGGAGGGAAGTGGTGTTCTTGGGGACAAGTAGTTTAATTCTGGAAATTGATATTTGAGGAGACAAGAAACCATGCGAAACAGTCTGGGGGGCCCCTGCTAGAAAGTAGGCCCTAAAAATAGCTGCAGAGGAGACTAGAGGAAGCGGCCACAAAAGCCACTCTGTGAAGAGTCGGTGCCCAGCAGAAGGTGACGAAGGCAGTGTCAGACTCTAGGTCACAGGCAACAGTGATGCAAGTTCACAGAGGCCACCTGATCCAATGATGACAGCCACAGGTCGCTTAACCAGATGGAAGCTGAGCATTTTCTTCTCCTTTTTCATATGTATAATGTCCACATGTGTGGACATACATGTGTGCGTGCATCCGCAGATGTGCCAATTTAAAGAATAAAAAGGCAGGAGGGGAACTGGAAAGACAGCTCAGTGATGGACACCAGCTGCTCTTGCAGAGGGCCCAGAGTCTGTCCCCAGCATCCACATGGAGGATCTCACAATCACCCACAGCTCCAGCCCAGTGGGATCTGATGCCCTCTTCCTGCCTCTGCAGGCTCCTGCATGCACATGGCACACATAAACTCACCTGTGCAAACAGAGATGGATAGATAGATGGATAGATAGATAGATAGATAGATAGATGGATTAGATTAGATATAGATAGATAGATTAGAGATAGATAGATGATAGATAGATAGATAGATGATAGATTAGATATAGATAGATTAGAGAAAGATAGATAGATAGATAGATAGATAGATAGATAGATAGATAGATAGATAGATAGATAGATAGATAGATAGATTTTTAAGGCCAAAACAGCATGGTAGGGGCCAGAGAGAGGAGGGAAGGATGGAGGGAGGGAGGGAGGGGGGAGGGAGGGAGGGAGGGAGGGAGTGAACAAAAACAAGCATGAGCAAAGCACACGAAGAGACTCCCCAAAATGGAACGAGACCCAAAGATGGTGTGTGAGTTTGTCTAGCAGAGACAAACTTTTACGAGTTTAGGGTGAGTTCCCTTTTACATCCAGTACTGGCTGTTTACCTACAGCAGAGGACTGGCTCATCTAGACAAAGAAAGGAAAACTCATTGGCTCTCGTCACAGGAGCCCACCATAGGAGGTTTGAAAGCCCACTGAATAGTTCCCTCCAGCAGGAAAAAGCCCACCAA